ACACGATAGTTTTTTTTTTAAACGATGAAAAAGTCTAAGAGAATTAGAATTTAGAGAGAAAAAATTTCCGTTTCACCCAGCCGGGAATCGAACCCGGGTCTCCCAGATACGCGCCGGGCACTCTTACCGACTAAGCTACCGGGAACCACAGAAATTCACTCTCAAATTCACCTCATACACCGCCTAACCTCCTTTAGGCATTAAAGAATTCTAAGAGAATTAGAATTTAGAGACATTGACTGCACAATTTTGCTCTCTATTTTAATTTTTCCCTGTGATGGATCAATCATTAAACAATAAATTTAATCCTCGGAATAATATTTTGATGAAAAAAAGAAAGGATAAGGCGCGGGAAAATTTGTTTGACAGATGAGGTTAAGTGGATCGAGTATAGCGACGTTTGATTTTTCAATGCGTCAGTATCCGAATACCAATTTTTCTGCGATTTCGCGAATTTCTTTCCCTATTTGATTTTCCCTAGTTGAATTTCAATCATTTAATCGACTCGTTTCTTCACCATAAATAATGATTTTATTTAGTTGTTGCTCATATTTTCCGTTTGACACACTCTACACCGACCAGCGTCTCTAACCAACTCGGTTAAAAAATGGCGCGTAAATATCTCGTGTCAGCGCAGTCCGTCGAAAAATGAAAATTATAAAAAGCTTCTTATTGTAAATCTGAAAAATTGGGTTTGGGTTGAACAGATTACAGTTTTTTGTTTCTACCATAATTTAATTGAGAGTAAAAAAGGGAGGAAAAATTTAGAAATAAGTCATAATTAGTAGTATGCATTCGGGTACTCATACTTGTTCGGGTACTCCTACCTTGACGATTGTTTTTAGGATAATTTTCTATCTTGTATATGTTTAAAAATTTTGTCTGTTATAGTCACTTCACAGACTAGCAAGGTCATATGTAATACGTGGGTCTTGGCAGCGCTCTTACACCGACCACTTCATCCCTTCCTGAGATAGTCATGGAACTTTTGAGATCTGATGAGAGGATTACACTGTAGATGGTGTGAAAACTAGTTACGAGACAAAAAACATAAGTAAGGAGTTCCAAAAAGTGAACCATCAGTAAATTCAGAATTATGTGTACCACGACATTTTCCTACCGAACAAAATTGCCGACAAGTGAATGACAAGTGAAGTGAGAAAGGTATTCAATATTCGAGAAATTAAGATCAAGGATGCTCGGAGTGATTGTTCATCAACGTAGATTCATGTCATTTTTATATAGGTTTGTCTGTAGAATTAAGATTTAGAACGATTACGAACACCCTATAGGCTTATATTTTATCTTTGTTGGGGTAATATTGTCACTAATTATGTTTCCCGATGAATTCAACTTTATGAAGGAATGAGAAATGTTTTACTTCGTTAAAATGTAAGTAGAAGCGTTTGATCCCTTCGTTGGCCAGCGAGGACTAATTGACGAATGGAACTGAACCTATGCTAATTACAATCATCAAAGTCCAATAATTGAATGAAAAAGACTTCTAGGTATCCCTGGATAATATAATAAAGTGAACACTTCGTGTCCCGTTTCGGAACAAATTTTATGGCTATTATAGATGGAATTTTTTAATTAAATTTCAATATGGAATATTGAACTATCAGATATCCAATTGCCACGGAAAATGATATTACAGGAATGTAAACCATGCAGCCTGTAATAAACCTGTGTCCAGTTTCTTCAATGAATCAGAGACTGTAATAACGAGGGGTGGGACATGTTTTTAAAAACATTATTTGAAAAATCGATGTTTTTTCTCATTACGCAGAAAAAAAGCAAATTTTTAAAAATCATTTTTTTAAACCTCGTTTTTATTGAAAATATAAATTGAAAAAATATAGCCCGAGCAATTTACGTGTCAATGATAAGTACTGCTGGAGAGTCAAATTTTGAATCTCGAAAAAGGGTTCTTGATCAATTGGAAAAAATATATTGAATATTTTCGGTGACTGGACGTTAGAGTCGACGATTGGACTTGCCCACTTACCATTTATAACGTATATGCTGTAGAAAATAATTACTTCCGATTGCGGATAAATTATTTTTTTTATTCTCAAATAATCAACATTATTATTCGATAAAAAAATTTAAAATGTTGTCAGCTTCGTCAAAAACATCGATGTTTGGGCATGAAAAATCGATGTTTACGATTAATCGACAAACCTCGTCCATCCTTAGTAATAACTAATGAGCATTTGTTTGACAATATTGTTCACAGATGAATTGCAAGGAATCTCATTTGCTGCTGGAACTGAAACCCCTCGGAATCAACAATGTTGTCACAATTATGATTGTTGACAAGTTTGATTAGAGTTAAGTTATGGCAACAGAACAACTATTATCCTTGAAATGTCATCCTCGTGATGGTAGTTTGGAGCGCTCATTCGGAGACAAAAATTAATAACATTTTTCTCTCCAACGTGTTATTTAAGGATGTTTAACCGGTCAAGTGGACAACGCAGTTGAAAAGAAAAATAAAATGGACTAAATAAATCATTCATGGTACAAATTATTTTTCTCATCAAATCAGAAGTGATATGGCGTACTTTTCCGGCCTCAAAAACAATAATTCAAGAAATTGTTCATAGGTAATGGGGGGGGGGGGTTGTGACTGCAATTGTAACAGTCGACTTTTGATTATAGTGCAGTCAATCTGGAAATGGCTCATACCTGTGACCTATCAAATAGTCTGCACAGCATGAAATTCATACCAAAATGTTCAGAAAATAACCCTGAACAACATATCAAAATAGAGCAGGTCTAGGTGTTTCGCTAATATTGTTAATTAACAAAAAACTGATGAAATTTTCGAGGTTAACGCCAAAAACGCCCATAACTCATATTTAACACATATATCCGATCGAAAAAATAAAAATATTAGAAAGTAGAGTAGATATTTCTCAGACATTATGTGATTCATATAGGCAACGGACATTCCGATGAATGTTCCCAACGATTTATACCAGCACCGTTTGGGGTTCAACTGCTCTATAGCGAAGACGAAAGACAAAAAATTAGGAAACTCTAATGTTCTGCTTGTGGAACGCCCACCCTTTCATAGGTCATTTCAGTATGTACAGAACTTGGTGATTTGCGTCAAACTTGTAAAATCCAGAAAATTTGTCTGGTTTTTAAGATCACCGACGTACGTGGCCGAGTGGATTAGACGCAAGTCTAGTGTGCGAAAGGTTGTGAGTTCGATTCCCCGTTGAACCGAATTTTTCAACGGAAGGCTTCGGCAAGCGGGGGGTTGCTAATAGAGGAACCGCTTGTACCGGCATGGGTTTTTTGTTGTTTCCCCTTGCTACGTCTATGTTCTATAGGAGTGTGAATGCGGTACAGTGTAGAATCCACAGCCGCATGCATAGGGTTCGATAGAGTGCCGAATGGGACCCGAAAAGGGACTCCAAGGCCGTAAAAAAAAAGATTTTTAAGATCTCGTCACTGAAAATTGACAACAAGATAACTTGATGGTAGGGTTCCTCACTTCGTTGAATTAAAAAAAAACGCAGTTTTAGGAATAATAGGAGCATGTAATAAAGTGTAGCCGAAACTCACGGTTAGCATAATTCAAAGTCACCCTAAACCTATTCATGATCACAACAACCATTGAATAAAAATATTGTATCGTCGATGATACTTCTAAACGCCGCGGTTTGCCTAAAAGATAATGTCTCTTTGAAAACAAATATATTTGCACTGAATATGCAAGATTGTGCAGTTTACATAAAAAGGTTTATATTTATAGGGGACTATATTGAATCGTTGAAGAAATGTAACCAACTAAAATTTTGCAAAATTGTAGCTTTTACGTGCGTGGGATTCAGGAAGATCTAATGGTCCTCAGTGATTAGTTCTTGGGAGATGGGCGGGATCACTTCATGGGAGTATCAGGATTAGCCAGTGATGCCGCAAAATGAGAAGAAACGAGTAACCGCATCTTCTTGTTTTGTCTCGTTGTCAGGAAACCATTCTCTCGTCTCGTGTCTCGTATCAAAGTACGAGAGCAATTTCTTCTCTCGTCTCGTCTCTATAAGCCAATTTGTACGAAAAAAATACACAGAGGGGCAGAGAGGGGGAGACTCTCTCGACTCTCGTCTCGCCTCTCGTTTCTCTCGTTCTCGACCGGTTTTTCTCGTCTCGTCTCGTTTCTGTCATTGTCTCGAATGACTCTTCTCATCTCGTCTTGTCTTGTTTCTCTCACGTCTTGCGACATCACTAGGATTGACCAGAACTTTGAAGGGAAGGGAGTCTTCAAGCGAGAAGCGCTGTGACTCGGGCCCCCAAAAAAACATTCACATCTTGTCTGACATCTCCGGTATGAACTCTGGAATGGAACTCTGAATCCAGAGTTCAATCTAGTTTCTTAAATTCAGTGTCTTGGCTCTGCAAATCAGAAATTTTTTTCGATGTATTCTAATTACCTGTCTCTCTCATTTTACCCTGGTGACCTGGATCCTTTAGATCTGAGTCACTCTCACAGTATAGATATTCAGCAGTGGAACACTTGTGCATGCATGTGGCATATATGTTACAGATATTTTATATATATGGAGATTATGTTATGAATATACCTTGCATATATTTTCACTGTATATATAAGCAGTATATGATCGAATATTTATGTAATATATATGGAATATATTTTACATCTAGGCCACTTATAAATGACTTATATTTTACACGTATTTCAGGATATATTCTTGGATATATATGACATATATACCACATACAGCATTTTTGGCCAAAATATATACGGTATGATTACGATATATGTCACATAGATGTATTCTTTTTCTGTGCGGGTTATACGGGTTCATATGCTTCCAGCACTAAATTATCATCACCGACTTTACCGACCTCGATCAACTGTTGTGGGATGTTGTCACGTTGCTCGACTCGAGTGGCGGTCCAATTTTAAAGGAATTCGAAAATCAATATAAGGTATCACGCCATATATGGCCCCTGTCACCCTAAAGTAAATGGCTTGTGGTTTTTTTTCAATACTAGGCGGGACGCGCGCTTCGCGTGCCTAGTTAGATTGCGTAATTTTGGTACTGATACTTCTTTCACTCCTATACTCTCACTTTTTTACTATATTAGTTATTACTTTACGTTAGTAATTCATTTTGTTCTATTAATACAACTTCAACAAATTATCTCCTAATTCCAAATTCCAATTGGTTCCAATTCACTAATTGGAACTAATGAATTGTTTGTACTCACTGATATTCAATAATGTCTATTTAAGTTAGCGAATTGAAACATGGAACTCATTTTTTTCTAAAACCATTATTGTTCCTGAAGAAATCTTCATGATACAATCAATTTCATTCCTTGTGAAGATATTGAGGACTATCGGCGTTCACTCTAATGTTCTACTCACTGTCTTATTATACATCCCTTTTACCACTCAAGTAAGCTCGAACAAATCATTGATCAAAAATATTCAGATTCATCATAACCTGATTATTCTTTCATCATATACAAATTTCAAATAGGACTGACACTTTTTCTTCGAACAACTTCACGAAGGATAACGATCCTTAAATCGAATCTTCAAATCGACCCTAATACTCATTTTTTGACCGACTTTGAAACCGATTTTTCTCAAAACACGTCAAGCCTCAAGCCTCTATAAATGGCAAAAACCGATTCGAACATAAATCGACCAAATCTCTCTGTTATAAGGAAAAACATGGAAATTTTCAAAACGTGACATGCAAATATCGCCACATTGTTGCTTATGACCTTTGGTCTAGATGATTAAATGGATAATATGCGGTATCAATTTAAAGATCTCGATGAGATCCATAAATTGACATATAATACATTCTCGATGGTCAAATCTAAAGCATCAATAAGTGGTAAAAATTGTCATTTTTGGCGTGTGACGTAAAGCAAAAAATGAAACAATCTCCTGTAATTTGGTGAAAATTCAATTAAATTATAATTA